GTTGAATGTGAACTAGAATTGTAACCGTGATCAGTACCTCTCAAAATAATAGAACAAGGAACATTTAAAGAACCACTAAAGCCATAAAACAACATTTTTCTTTCCTTCATGTTATTTGAACCTTTCTCACCCTGTATCTGTTAAATTTCTATATACCTTTTGAATAGATGCTGAGCACTGCATTCACACACACTTCCTGTATGCCTGTCCGCATTTCATTCTGCTTTCGTAATGTCTCCCATTGTAGTCGCACATTCAGAAGCACTGCTCAGAAACCAGTACACCAGTACAAAAACTTAATGGCAGGACAGTGGCTTAGTGGTTAGCACTTTTCCCTTGCAGCACTGAGGGGGAAGTCACTGGTTTGTATCCCGGCCAGGACACTGTCTGCATGGAATTTGCATGTTCTCCCTGTACTTGCGTGGGTTTCCCCCAAAACGCCAAAGACATACTAGAAGGTTAGTTGGCTCCTGTCTGAATTCGCCCTGTATGCATGCGAGATTGTGACCTTAAACTGTAAGCTCCTTGAGGGCAGGGACTGATGTGACTGTACAGTTTGTAAAATTGTTGGCACTATATAAATACCTGTAATAAATGAATAATTCATGCACAATTTTTTCCACTCCACAGCACCGCAATGCATGCTTTTGCAGTACCATGCTTTGCAGCACAAGCCCACCTGGATGTGCATTGGGGGTAGTATTTAGAATGAATAGCACTCGGCGCACCTAACATGCGGTGCATTGTGCTGTGTGATGGCATGCACTAAATGCAAGGCTACCCTGCCTTTAGGGTCACTCTGTAGTGTGGATCGGCCCTTACTCAATACTGCAGCCTGCATTTCCAGCCCACTCTTGAAATGCCGGCTGCGGTATAGAGACTTATGGAGTTCTGTGTTTTATTTCAATTTTTATTGTGCTCCACAGTCTTCCTATTCTTGAATCCAGCAGAATGCAATACAGCACATTGCTGTGCTTTTCTAACTGTGTGGTAGGGGTTTTTTTTTTTCGTTTTGTTTAACGCAGTGGTATTGCTGTAGTAGTACCCAGAATTTCATTGTCTGGACCTGGGCTGTCTACTAGTGTTCTCATTTTAAGGATTGTAGTTAAAAGCAATAGTTGGATATAGTTGTTAAATTTCATGGCTCATTTAAATAAATGTAGGGCCGGAGCCATTAAGAATACGGGGATGGCTATCCGTAGTTCATTCCTGTCATTAAAGACTGATATTTCTTTGTGGTTTTTTTTATATTAATTTTTTGCACTGGTTTTGCTTTTCCTTTTGTTCCTAATATTTTGTGCCTTTGTATACTTATATATACAAAGGGCAGGGTCTTTCCCGAGAATTGCTCATACACAACTGTGCTATGACCATTCTTTACATTGTGAAGGTGATGATTGATCGGACATTTTCCATCTGCTGTGAACTTTGATCTCTTGTAGCCCTGTAGCTGAACTGGAGGTGTCAGGCTGGCTTATCTTGCTCTAGGCTGTAATTGTACATTAACACTTGCCATGCTGCTATTGTGTTGCCTGAATTTTAATGACTAGCTAAATGTGAAGTTGCTCACCATCTATGGTTATATATTCTGTGTGGATATTTTAACATGCTTTTGTTTTTTGTTTTAAATTTATTTAAAAAAAACAAATGCCATCTCCCGAAGAAAACAAATTCAGAGGTCAGGTTTGGAGCTGATATAATTGCTTGACCCTGGATGACACAGAACTAGAATAGTACTACCCCATTACCCTGGAGACCTTATTCTAGTTAAATTCTATATTTGCTGTTTTGTTTTTACATAGAGATTTGGGATTCTTGCAGGTCCAGAGGTTGTAGTTCAACCACTTTTGGTATATAAGATGAAGGTAACAATATCCAGTTTGCAGGGTTGGAGAAGGTGGGAAGAGTACTACTAATGAAGTTTTAAGTGTTTGTTCAATGTGGCCCCTTTTGCTGGTAAACAGGATTTTGTTTCATCTCATTTTAGATCCACAAAATTTACCAAAACAGCTTAATAAAAACTATCCGTCCAGGCTCCAACCAATCCTCAAACTGCAGAAGTGTGACTAGACTTTAATTGTCCAGAGAGAATAAATCCATATTCAACACCATAGAACAGTTATGCTCAACCTGTGTAACCTCAGGACCCACATTTGTCCTCGATCATTGTCGCGACCCAAGCCGCACTGCAATGGAACACACTGCAGTGTGGGCTGCTGCGCTGTGACTGAGCTCCATCCATACGTGCATAGCTTGCAGAACTCCCATGCGTACCCTGTAGAGGTGGCGGGAGCCAGAATGTGATGTCACTTCGGTCCAGGCACCTCTACAGGAGGGAGCTATAAACAATGCATGTATGGATGGAGCTCCCTCGCGGCATACCCCCAGTGCTGTGCTACGGGGAGTCAGGGGAGCCTCTCGCATAGAAAAGTGGAAGGCATGCAGTGACACACTGAATACGGGGTCGCGACACACTTTTGGGTCACGACCCACCAGTTGAGAACCAAGGCCATAGAACATTGCTTTAAAACAAGACTGATTGACAAGTGGAACATCCATGCCAAATGGAAGATCCGTTCGCCCACTGCTCCCCAAAACACTTATCACCCAGCACAAAAAAATGTGTCACTTTGGCTGTGGTGCTTCCAAGTGGTACAGATGTCACAATGTCACTATCTGATTTGCAGAGTTGGAAACTCAAAATCCCTCAGGTATGCACCCCGGCCCTTTGCAAGAGAGCATTCCTACTGGATTTGATGTGCCCAGTTATTCTGGGAGGCAGCAGCGTGGCATGATGGCGTCACCTGTGCCTTCCAGAAGAGTCCTGGGCCAGGGCTAAGGGAAGCATCCCCCCCCTTAGCCCTTTTGTTTACATTTGTGTTGAGGGATCAGGAGACTTTCAAAACCATTAATTTGCTGTGGAAGGTTTACTTTAAAATGTGTTTGTAATTTGGGATAACGTAGGGAAGGGTTAGGCCCCTATTAGGTTATTTTGTGTTGGGGAGATTTCACTTCAGTTCCTGTCCTGATAACGCAACAGGTAATGAGGAAATCTTCCCAAAATGAAGGGAATTCTCACTTTAGATGTCACAAACATTTGTCCTCATTAAATGATCACCCTCACCTTGCTCTTGGGCGAACAATGCAGTATATTTAGTTTATCTAATCCCAAACTTATATATTTATTATTATTATTGGAGGGTTAAAATCCATTGCAAAAAGACATCTGTCAATAGAGCTGTTTCCCTTTCCCTTCATTCGCTGTCCTGAATACTCAACAGGTAGGATACTTGTTGAGAGAGGATACTTTTCAGATGTGAGGGAAATCCACTCCTAGACAGTTGTGTCCCCAGGCAAAGTGTGAACCTTTCTATTCACTTTGTATAGAACATATGTACTATGTTTCGGCCTCAGTGCTTTCCCTGGGTGCTAAATAAAAATATCTTTGCTAAGTTTGGGTGAAAAAAGTTAAGTTAAGATTTGCCAGTGTGATCCCGGTTAAGCACTTTAAATGAAATCTTGGTAGAAACATGGAAGTTGCTATTGCTGTTCTCCTATCCTGCATATGCAGAGTTGCCATGTTGACTTTCTGGAGTTACTAACCCAGCACATGTATGCAGGGGAGGACTGCTGACTTTCCTGATCGGGCTACTTGTTCTGAATCAGTGACTCAAAAGGCTGAAGCCATTGGGTCATAACAGCTAGGCAACAAGCAGTTGCAGGAGGTCAGCAATGGCAGCCCCTTATTTCTTTTAAAAATGAACTTGGCTCCCTCATCTGTTTTTTTTTTTTTAATTTATTTTGTTAACCCCTCCAGTGTTCTCCAATCACATATGTGCCCAGGAGATCCGGTGTTGTCTGCAATCCACTGTTTGGATGACACAGCCCAGGTCCCATGCTGCCATCTTGGTGCTTCTCTGTCGTCAGGAGCTGGCTGCCTCTTTTGGGCTCAGTAAGCCAGCCCCCGATGATGCGCACAGCTCCACCCATCGGCCCCCCTTGTCCCTATTCTTAAAGCCTCCTAAAATATGTGTGGGGATATCCCACGTTGTTGCAGGAGCAGGACACGTTATTCTCACTTGGTTCAGATTGGCACAGGGGTCAGTCCAGGATTAAAACACTTTATGAAAAGAAAACGAAAAAAAAAAAGTAAACTATACATTCTTTCTCAAAACGTGGAGGGCGGATGGTTGCAGTGGGCTAGAGCCAATTGTTGAAGTGAACATTTTATGTTGTAATATAGATCCAGGAAGAGTCGGCTTCTCTTGTAGAACGGTTTTCCAATGCTTTGTTTTGACTGCAGTGCCATAAAGCCAGAAAGGCAAAATCACATGTTAAGTCACTCTTGGTCTGAGGAAAATGCATTTCTCGCTGAAAACATGGATGTATGGTGGTCTGTGATTACTGTTAGAGTGTTTGTGTGAATCTGGAGTATAAAGATCAACTTCTAAACTAAAATGTAATTAATATAGGTCATGACTTAGACAGCACTTTGATTTTGCTATTAGCCAGGTTTCTAAAATTTTGGTAAAGATGGCACTGTAGTATAGACTAATGTGGAGGCAGCATCTATATGCAATTAAACTGTCCTTCCTTCTGGAGGGGTGGCTACTTTTGTTCCCCATGGGCCCTGTGTGTGTTGTAAAGTAGTCACGCTCCAAGCTCATTCCAGTGATGGACTACAATCTCACATTTAGTTTACTAATTAGTATTGAGATTGTAGTGCATCACAAGTGAGTTTGGAGCGGTGGCACACAGGGACCATGGGGAACAAAAGAAGCCACCCTCCAGAAGGGACAGTGTCACCATCTATTCAGAGATAATGAGTATTTGCAACTGAGTGATGCACAAATAAGCTAAGTTTTTGCTAATGGGGTACTTGCATTTTTAAGATCCATTTTCTGAGTTTAGTGTCTCTAAAAGCTGCACAGTCAAGATTTACTGTAGACCTGCAAAAAGTATTTTAAGTGTTAATTCTCAATGATTTTCTTTACTTTCAGAAATCGAGCAATAGCAGACTATCTTCGTTCTAATGGCTATGAAGAGGCCTACTCTGTTTTTAAAAAGGAGGCAGAGTTAGATATGGTAAGTCCTAGGTTTTACTGATTTAATGTCTGCTATCTTTTACAGGTTTATACAAATAGGTCCGTATCATTTTCTTCAGTCTTGCATTGACATAGTGTAGCATTTAATGGATTTTAATCTCAGGATTCTGGACATGTACCAACTTCACAGCAGGATGCAGGACACAACAAGCTCGCTGCTGCAGGTGTAGCCAGAAGCTTCTCTTTGTGGACTGGTTCCTCCCTTTTACATGGAAGTAAGCTGGTGAGCTGTAGAGCCAACTGATCACTTTTATGTGACTTGCGCAGCAGCTCAACCCCCTGCTGGAACAGTATGTAGTGTGTGAACCCAGAAGCACTCAATTTTGAGCATTTCCAGGTTTGGAGCTATCAATATCCCGGCTGAAAAGCTGGGTAAAAAGTACATCAAGCACCATGTGTGCTTGATTGGATGTAGCAGAAGGCAGAGAAAACATTGTAGACAGGGCTTGACAAATTTTCTGTGAATCTAGGAGCCAGCTAAACTAGTTAGGAGCCAGTTTGTCTTTTTTGTTTTTTAAATTCGTGGGGGCAGGGTACTTAAAAGAAAAATTTTTGGGAGGAGGATATTTTTTTCATTTTAGTTTATTTAACTTTATTTTATTTTTTGTACTTTAATGTTATCCCATGGGGGGGCTCACAGAATGACAGGTTCTCTTTTAAGGTGGCATAAGGTGACATTTGAGGTCAATTAGACCGCTAGTGTAACCTGTCCAATTCAATAGCTTTAGCTGGGGAATGATGGCTTCCTGCTGAGGCAACTGAATGTAAACAGCAGGCAGTGGCTAGGAGCAATAGCCAGCCTGCTATTAGCTATTTTTTAACTTGCAATAGCAGGCTGGCTGTTGCACCCACCTTCTGTCAATCAGCAGAGGGACCTGAAGGAGAAAGTTCTCATGAGGACCTACCTAAGCTTTCCAATCAAACTATTTCTATTCAGGCAGGCCTATGCACTACATTGTTGGGACAACTGAAGGAGAATGGAGGGGTGTTGAAATAATAAAAAAACAACACAAAAAAACAACCTACTTGACCAGTGACTATCTACTTTTTATTTTAACCCAAACCATGTTTAAATAAGGTCTTTATTGATAGCGACTTGGAAGACTTTAATACTTTATTCTTGGTTCTCAACTGGTGGGTCGTGACCCAAAAGTGGGTCGCGACCCCTTGTTCAGTGGGTCACCTTACGCCCTCCACTTTTCTAGGTGAGAGGTTACTCAGCTTCCCCCGAGTGCAGCACTGATCCTTCTTACACCGAGCAGCCATTCAAAAAATGCTGCTCGGCGCCAAGTGCCGACTTGGGGTGGGCTAGGGGTATGGCCACGAGGGAGCTCCATCCACATGTACATTGCTTATACTGTAGCTCTTTGCATGTCCTGTAGAGGTGCCTGGACTGGAGTGACATCACATTCTGGATCCCAGCTACTCTACAGGCACACATGGGAGCTGTGCAAGCAATGCACATATGAATGCAGCTCCAGCACAATGCGTTCCATTGCACTACGACTCGGGTCGCAACTTAATGGCCGAGGACAAATGTGGGTCCTGAGGTTACACAGGTTGAGAACCACTGCTTTAATGCAATCAATAAACAGAAGTAGATAGTGAGCTTAAACAGAACATAATCTTTATACAATCGTTGTATAACAGTCCTGGTGTCCTGTGTGTGAGGGCGCTAAAATTGTCAGCGTCCTTTTCCATTAAACATGTCAGTCCCGAATATACACATCTACATACTGGGACTTATTGAGTTGCCGAAACCAGAGGCGAGGAGGAAGGTGCCAGGTCCTCAGAGGGTGGCCAGCCGAATTGCTGCCCAAAATGGATTGTGTGCTGCCTGAACACTGGTACAGGCTCATACAGAGGGAGGAGGGGCTGAAGGGATGTATAGATGTGCAGGATAAGAGAGGGTAAAGAGTTAATATACAGGTCTATGTGCAGATAACATAGGAGAAGAGGGGGGCTGAAAGGGTTACATTTATTTGAAGCTTTTTGTTTTTCTTACTGTTGCATTGTTTTACCAGGAACTAATACATAGAGGACTCATCCATTCACTAGTTCTGTACTCTCCCCTGCCTCTGATGTAAGAGAAAGGGGAGGGCTTGGCAATATAATCCATTGCCATGTAATCGCTGTGATAACCAATCACAGGACACTCCACTGGCAAATGACAGCGGAGTTCAGCGTCCAGGGCTGCGTCTTGCCTGCAGCAGGGCTAAATGTAACAATAAAAACACTGTCGGTGCCTTGAACTGCAGAGCTCCGCGCTGATGTGTTTTTAGTGAAAGGGTGTAAATGTCCATTTTAAGTGGCTTTTAGGATCATACAGATTCTTGCATTTCCATGCAAGTCTACGAGAATGCAAAACTTGCTTGAAGCAGGCCAGAGGGAGATCGCCAATAGGTAAAATGGTTGTTTAAAGTGGAAAACCTTTAAATCCATGTACATTTAGTCTGTAAAAAGGTTCATGCTAAAAGACAGGCATAGTTGTACCGTTAGTATAGGCATAGACCTGGACAAATGCAAAATGAGTACCACAGTCTGTGTTAGAAATGTGTTGATCATCTATCTTGGCACCTATCTGAAGAAAAGTACTATAGATCCTATCAATAGAACTCTACAGCATGTTGATGCATTGGACATGGCTTGACCTGCCTACTCAACATTTTATTTTGTATTTCAGAATGAAGAGTTAGATAAAAAGTATGCTGGCCTACTGGAAAAGAAATGGACATCAGTTATCAGATTACAGAAGAAGGTAATGTGAAATATGAATAGAATGCTGCCTGTATCAAAACAAACGCACCCCAAAAAATTCCATGTGGGTTTACCATGTCAGATTTCCTAGGACACATTGTAAGCATGTCTCTTAAAAAATGAATACATCTGCTTCTGTGAGTAAATGTTGTATATCTTTCATGTGTAGATCAGGATTATACAGTGTTGAATGGTTTCAGATATTCTCATAAATATTTGTTTACAGACATGCAGCCCTCTATTTTCCAGTTGTTAGTAGAATCATTTATAGGTGGCATAACATAAATATTTTGTGTTTTGGTAGGTTGTCATTTTTTTAGCATAGGACAAAAATGTTGCTAAATACTAAAGGCGTTCCTAACATTTGGTTTGCACTTTCCAATTGCAGGTTATGGAATTGGAATCAAAACTGAATGAAGCAAAAGAAGAGTTTACTTCTGGGGGACCTATAGGACAGAAGAGGGACCCCAAAGAATGGATACCACGTCCTCCAGAAAAATATGCACTTAGTGGTCACAGGAGTCCAGTCACTCGTGTCATTTTCCATCCAGTGTTTAGTGTTATGGTCACTTCTTCAGAGGATGCAACTATTAAGGTATTCTTAATGACTTGAATTTCATGACAGTAAATGTATAACAGATCCCCATTTTGAAACAATACTCCCAAATTTCTAAACCATTCAAAGTTTGTGTGTGTATACACTTTCTCAAAATTTGGTGTGTGCAAACTTTGAACTTCGGCAGCTAGCTAAATTTAATGGTTAGAGGGTGAGAAATCTTACAACAGCAAGACCCAGTCAAAAAACAAAACCCCAAAAAAACACCACCTCATACTTAGCTCTCCGGAGGCCATTGCAACTTGAAGACCGAGTGCTGTTTCTATCTGACCCTTCTCTGTGTTTTTGCCATGTGGAGTGAAGGATAGACACCGGCACTCCAAAGCAAAGGTTTCGGGTTCTCAAGGATCCCCTTCATCAGGCAAACAAGTGATGAAGGGGATCCTGTGAGACCCCGAAACGTATCTTGGTTTTGCATTTGCAACAAGTAAGTGAATAAATAGACGTACTGGATTTGCTTTGGAGTGCCAGTGTCCATCCTTTAGTCATACTTTGACGGAAGCCATCCGTTAACACCTGCTGCACCCACTTCTTATCTCATGGAGCAGCGGTTCCGAGTGCGATGGGTACACGGACTGTATCCTTTGCCATGTGGAGGACACACTTATCCCATTGGCTCCTCCTGGCAACTCCTATGTTCCTGCAGGACACATTTGTGATAAAGGTTGTCAGTGGGAGGAACCACAGTGGCCAGTGAGGAACACAGTATTCATAACTCCTGGATATATTGGATTGTAGTTTCTAAAGCTCTTCAAGAGAGCAAAGTTTCACTAACACTGCCCACCAAATAGGTAAGTGTAATCGACTTCTTTCACTGGTTAGTGGCGTTGTAAGGTTTTGCACTGACTTAACAGGATTGTGTTAAGCTTAGGCTTTAATTACAATATTGGTAGCAGTTTATGCACTAAATGCAGGATTACCAATCAAATCCTTAATCCATATGTCTGCAGGATTAAAGACTGAATGAAGCCTCTCTATTACTGTAATGCAGGCAGGCTGTATATACAGTAATATGCTCTGTGTCTTGTGTGTTTTTACAAAGCGCTACTGAAAGGGTTAAAATATCCGGTAATAGCAGCATGCTGGAGAGCCACACTGCTGTTCCTACACACAAGCAGTTGCCCAGGTAGCCAATGGTTCAGCACTCTGCTCTCCGAGCAGTAGTGTCATCCGGAGTAGTGTGCAGGGAATACCGGCCCTATTGTGGCAGACTTGTCCCTACTTTTGCCTCAAGCAATGACACATTCTTAATTCCTCCTCACTCTGTATTCCTACACTGCCATCTTCTACCACGTCGTCTTTCTCATCTGACGACTTCTCTGTCGACTTATTGGGCTACCACGAATGATGTTACCGCTGCACATATGTTCCTGCAGCCATCTCCATTCTTTGCAGCGTACAGATATTCCTGTAACGTTCCAAAGGTGTACACTGGACTGCATAGCAATAAAGTCTCTTCTGCCAAAATCTCTGCCTGCTAGCAATTGTTCTTGTAAAAACGTAGTCCTGCTTTATGTAACCGTTTGCATAACGTGAAATAACTTTTCTGCAACTCCTCTACTAGGAGAATGTCCCTTTTCTGTGCAAATGTAGACAATTGAAATGTGATAACTGAAGCCTACATTGTAACTCCGTTTCTTTAAAAGCTTCAGAGGGAAACCATGTCAGTGAGATAATGACTGTGTAAGGTTCATTGAACAGGTTGAGGCATCTTGATAGGTTTGTAACACTAGACCCTTGACTTTTCCTTCTGTTCTGTTTAGCTGCAGCCACCTGCTAATTGCACACTATTTCCAGCTGCTAAGGCCTCATTCACACAGCTACATGCTGGCCCGTACAGATCCATGCTGCACGCACGGCCGTATCGGGCAGCTCCCGGGAAGGACTGGTGTTGCGTGTGGTTTGTACGCAGCATCTTGTCCTTCTCTATGGGACTATGCGGCCGTGCGCCACTCTACGCTCACCCGCCCTGCACGTGGGTACGGGCCAGCATGTAGCTGTGTGAATGAGGCCTAAACCTTGATACAGATTTAGTTGCACTACAACTTTTAGTATTTTAGTTGTATTATACGTTCCATACTTCCTTTAGGATACTCCTGTCTTTATATCTTTTGTAAGTATCCTGATCTAAACATCAAGTACTGGGCAGGCCATGTAGGGAGAGCACTGCGTATGCTCAACAGCACTGCTTAGGCTTTGCTTGCAGGTTCCATGAGTAAGTTCATAGACATGTGCTGAGGTTCTTCCCCCCCCCCCCTCAAGTGGATCCAAATTTACCAGACCCAGTTTACTTGTACTATGAAGAAATATTGGCTTCCATATGTATACATTAAAAACCTCTTAGGCCTCATCTCATGCACACTGTTGAAAAAACATGAGGTACATTTGGAGCTAATTTCTAAACTCACCTGGAAGAATGTAATGCTTTTCTATGACTGAATGCATACCTGGTGTCCTGCAGCATCTAGGTGCATTCAGTCCAGAAAAGGTTACCCAAACTAGGATTTTCTACGTTCCGGGCCCGGTATTACTCAGCTAAATGCATATAAATGCGACTAAGCCCAAGAACAACTAACACGGGAAAAAGTAACCTGGGAAAGCATAAAGTTGTTCATACTTATCAGATAACTTCTCTTGTGCTGTAACACAGCCGGCTAGTGTGCAGGAGGCCTCCAGTATAGTGTTCATATGTTAATAAACTTTGGGATGCAGAAATGTTCGGAACTTAAGTTCCTTTTATGAATACCTATATAATGTGTTTCAATGCTCTTGCATTTTTTTATGCTATTGAGTTTTTTTTTTTTTTTTTTTTTTAATTTTTGGGGGGGGGGACATTTTTTTTTTTTTGCCTTTTAATGTCACTTTAAG